TAGTTCTTGACACACACTGTACTCCCCTTCATATAGTCTAGGGCAGCTAGTTCTTGACACACACTGTACTCCCCTTCATATAGTCTAGGGCAGCTAGTTCTTGACACTCACTGTACTCCCCTTCATATAGTCTAGGGCAGCTAGTTCTTGACACTCACTGTACTCCCCTTCATATAGTCTAGGGCAGCTAGTTCTTGACACTCACTGTACTCCCCTTCATATAGTCTAGGGCAGCTAGTTCTTGACACACACTGTACTCCCCTTCATATAGTCTAGGGCAGCTAGTTCTTGACACACACTGTACTTCCCTTCATATAGTCTAGGGCAGCTAGTTCTTGACACACACTGTACTCCCCTTCATATAGTCTAGGGCAGCTAGTTCTTGACACACACTGTACTCCCCTTCATATAGTCTAGGGCAGCTAGTTCTTGACACACACTGTACTCCCCTTCATATAGTCTAGGGCAGCTAGTTCTTGACACACACTGTACTCCCCTTCATATAGTCTAGGGCAGCTAGTTCTTGACACACTCTGTACTCCCCTTCATATAGTCTAGGGCAGCTAGTTCTTGACACACACTGTACTCCCCTTCATATAGTCTAGGGCAGCTAGTTCTTGACACACACTGTACTCCCCTTCATATAGTCTAGGGCAGCTAGTTCTTGACACACACTGTACTCCCCTTCTTATAGTCTAGGGCAGCTAGTTCTTGACAGACACTGTACTCCCCTTCATATAGTCTAGGGCAGCTAGTTCTTGACAGACACTGTACTCCCCTTCATATAGTCTAGGGCAGCTAGTTCTTGACAGACACTGTACTCCCCTTCATATAGTCTAGGGCAGCTAGTTCTTGACACACACTGTACTCCCCTTCATATAGTCTAGGGCAGCTAGTTCTTGACGCACACTGTACTCCCCTTCATATAGTCTAGGGCAGCTAGTTCTTGGCACACACTGTACCACCCTTCATATAGTCTAGGGCAGCTAGTTCTTGACACACACTGTACTCCCCTTCATATAGTCTAGGGCAGCTAGTTCTTGACACTCACTGTACTCCCCTTCATATAGTCTAGGGCAGCTAGTTCTTGACACACACTGTACTCCCCTTCATATAGTCTAGGGCAGCTAGTTCTTGACACACACTGTACTCCCCTTCATATAGTCTAGGGCAGCTAGTTCTTGACACACACTGTACTCCCCTTCATATAGTCTAGGGCAGCTAGTTCTTGACACACACTGTACTCCCCTTCATATAGTCTAGGGCAGCTAGTTCTTGACACACACACTGTACTCCCCTTCATATAGTCTAGGGCAGCTAGTTCTTGACACTCACTGTACTCCCCTTCATATAGTCTAGGGCAGCTAGTTCTTGACACTCACTGTACTCCCCTTCATATAGTCTAGGGCAGCTAGTTCTTGACACACACTGTACTCCCCTTCATATAGTCTAGGGCAGCTAGTTCTTGACACACACTGTACTCCCCTTCATATAGTCTAGGGCAGCTGCAGAGACGTAGATGTACCTAAATGTGTTCGTTAAAAAATCTTTACTTCAAAAGTGCAGCGGCATTTTTAGTTCCTAATTCTTAAAACGTTTCTCTGTTAATGGCGTTTGAGTTATCCAGTCATGAGGTGAAGCAGCCAGCAACACACCGCCTGGAGGGAAGCAGCCAGCAACACACCGCCTGGAGGGAAGCAGCCAGCAACACACCGCCTGGAGGGAAGCAGCCAGCAACACACCGCCTGGAGGGAAGCAGCCAGCAACACACCGCCTGGAGGGAAGCAGCCAGCAACACAGCGCATGAAGGGAAGCAGACAGCAACACAGCGCATGAAGGGAAGCAGCCAGCAACACACCGCCTGGAGGGAAGCAGCCAGCAACACACCGCCTGGAGGGAAGCAGCCAGCAACACAGCGCATGAAGGGAAGCAGACAGCAACACAGCGCATGAAGGGAAGCAGCCAGCAACACACCGCCTGGAGGGAAGCAGCCAGCAACACACCGCCTGGAGGGAAGCAGCCAGCAACACACCGCCTGGAGGGAAGCAGCCAGCAACACACCGCCTGGAGGGAAGCAGCCTGCAACACAACACATGAAGGGAAGCAGACAGCAACACAGCGCATGAAGGGAAGCAGACAGCAACACAGCGCATGAAGGGAAGCAGACAGCAACACAGCACATGAAGGGAAACAGACATCAACACAGCACATGAAGGGAAGCAGCCAGTAACACAACACATGAAGGGAGACAGACATCAACATGCCACCAGTGAACACATTAAGAGCCAGTGTGTCCTGAAGAGACCAGACGCTAGTGCACACGGGTACAACAATCTTACTCAGGATCTTGCTCGTAAAACAGAAGAGTGAGAAGCTTAAGGTAGAGGCCCCGGTAACCTAAGGAGCGTGTAAGGGCTGTACCACACACCACACAGAAGAATGTGGCGCCACCACCACCTCCACCACACTTGTGGTGAATGGCGGGGTTTGTAGCGTCTGGCGGATCCACTCCTTCACTTGGTTGAGAGATGTGGCTCCAAAGGTGATGTGGGTCCAAAGGTGATGTGGGAGAGATGTGGTTCACAGTCCAAAAAGCCGCCTGTAACGTCTTGAAGAATTACACATATTGCTTTAATCTCTATCTCTCTCTCTCTCTCTCTCTCTCTCTCTCTCTCTCTCTCTCTCTCTCTCTCTCTCTCTCTCTCTCTCTCTCTCTCTCTCTCTCTCTCTCTCTCTTTCTCTCTCTCTCAAAATATAAAACTTTAACGCGAAGGAATTCACGTTCATCGGGAAAACAATGGAAATGAGGCTTGGGTAAATCTCTGATTTTATTTCAGACTTCATGGAAATCGTAGTTGGGGGGGAGGGTTATAGATGCCAGATATCTTAAAATGTGACACATGGGGCATACATTAATATTTTACAATTATATTCGGTGTGTGTGTGTGTGTGTGTGTGTGTGTGTGTGTGTGTGTGTGTGTGTGTGTGTGTGTGTGTGTGTGTGTGCGTGTGCGTGTGTGTAAGAGGCAAAAGTCAAGCCAATAGATGGGGTATGTTTGAAGTACTTCCCAGTAACATGCATCTCTGTAAACACTAGTCAACAGAGAAAAGAACACACTCTCTACCTATTTAATCTGCATATGTTAATACATTTACAATTTACGTCAAGCAGAGGTATGCAAGCAATTGATAGGATTGTATAATTTCCCTTCTTTAAACCACTACAATTCATTGGTACTGAGGACGAAAGGTTGATCTACATTAAAATCAAATAAAACATTGGCTCCATTACACGCACAACAATATAATTTGGTTATCTCCAATCTACAAATTCCGCCTAGCAGAGAGGCCATTCCGGGGCTTGACTGGGCGGTGGAGTACCCCAGACGGTGTTGACCTCTGCCCAGTGCGTTCAATCTCCACGACAACGCCATCAGTGTTGAATAGCGTTGATGACTTTGATTCAACGTCAAATCAACGCCAATCTTGGATATTGTGATCGCTTGACGGTGGGTTTCAGCCCCCTGACGGCCCATCGTCCACTGATGGGCTGCCTAGTGGTGAATGACGGACAGGTATTGTTTGGGGATTTGTTTGAGGTATTAATACACAATACTCAAACACTCCCACGGCGCACAAGCACTCCCACAGTGTAGGTGAGCTCTGTGATTGGTTGTCCACCCGAAGGACTTAGCCAGCAGACATGTCTAGAAGAGGAGGAGACCCGATCAAGAAGACTTCATTGTGAGAGGAACCGCGTCTCCAGTACCGGATCTCCTGTACCGGGTCTCTGGTACCGGGTCTCTGGTACCGGGTCTCCGGTACCGGGTCTCTGGTACCGGGTCTCCAGTACCGGGTCTCCAGTACCGGGTCTCTGGTACCGGGTCTCCAGTACCGGGTCTCCAGTACCGGGTCTCCAGTACCGGGTCTCCAGTACCGGGTCTCCAGTTTAGTGGCCTTGTGTGGGTGGTGTTCCTGGGTGGCGCTGCTCCCAGTGGTGATGCCGGATGGTCGGCAGGGCGTGTGGGTCGCAGGGCGGGAAATGGATGGCCAGCCCCCTGCGTAAGTGACGCCCCTGCCGCCGGCCCCCCCGCTACCTTCACTTGTTTTATTGCTCCATTCCCGCCTCCTTCTCCTGTTCCCTGCCTTCACATCCCCTCCTCCTCTCCTTCCCCCTCCTCCCTCTCTTTCTCCCTCTATATAATTCTAATAACGTTCTAATTGTCCTAACAACTTGTGTTATTAGAGTCTGCGTTAGATCACACGGCGAAGGAATTATTATTTACCAAAACCTATTCGATCTGATGTGTTGAAATGAGCAACTCCGCCAAATACAAGTTAATGTACTGGGGCCAGATTCACGAAGCAGTTACGCAAGCACTTACGAACGTGTACATCTTTCCTCAATCTTTCACGACTTTGGTTACATTTATTAAACAGTTTACCAGGATGAAAACTTGCCAATTAACTGTTGTTATTGTTATAAACAGCCTCCTGGTGCTTCGGAGCTCATTAACTGTTTAATAATTGTAAACAAAGCCGCCAAAGATTGAGAAAAGATGTACAGGTTCGTAAGTGCTTGTGGAACTGCTTCGTGAATCTGGCCCCTGGAGTCTTAACTAAATATAAACTGATTTACCATGGAAATACTTACTGAGTTTAAGCCAGCTGAAGGTAAAGTAATTATCATGAGAAAGCGCTATGCCATTGTGACTATATAGCATTTGGTAACGATGGAAGGATAAGGATTTAGAATAGGATGAAGGGAAGGATTGGTGCCCAAGCACTTGGATGATCGGGGGATTGAACGCCGACCTGCAATAAGCGAGTATTTCTTGTTATCCGTTATTTGCTATTTCTTGTATTTCTTAGTCTTTATCAAACACTTTACGAGCTCTAAAAATTTGCAAGCATAGGTACAGAAAAATTTGTAGTTTTTCGGAATGGAGCCATTATGTTTAGAGAAAGATGAACAGGTTTCGTAAAGTGACACTTAAGTGATGTATTCTGACCGTGGAGGCGTGACCAAGGCTTCGGTTATCTTGGAGCCTGTAGGAGAGTCTCCCGGAGGCCAGGCTCCGGTTATCTTAGAGCCTGTAGGGGAGTCTCCTGCAGGCCAGGCTCCGGTTATCTTAGAGCCTGTAGGGGAGTCTCCTGCAGGCCAGGCTCCGGTTATCTTAGAGCCTGTAGGAGAGTCTCCTGCAGGCCAGGCTCCGGTTATCTTAGAGCCTGTAGGAGAGTCTCCTACAGGCCAGGCTCCGGTTATCTTAGAGCCTGTAGGAGAGTCTCCCGGAGGCCAGGCTCCGGTTATCTTAGAGCCTGTAGGGGAGTCTCCTGCAGGCCAGGCTCCGGTTATCTTAGAGCCTGTAGGGGAGTCTCCTGCAGGCCAGGCTCCGGTTATCTTAGAGCCTGTAGGAGAGTCTCCTGCAGGCCAGGCTCCGGTTATCTTAGAGCCTGTAGGAGAGTCTCCTACAGGCCAGGCTCCGGTTATCTTAGAGCCTGTAGGAGAGTCTCCTGCAGGCCAGGCTCCGGTTATCTTAGAGCCTGTAGGGAAGTCTCCTGCAGGCCAGGCTCCGGTTATCTTAGAGCCTGTAGGAGAGTCTCCTGCAGGCCAGGCTCCGGTTATCTTAGAGCCTGTAGGAGAGTCTCCTGCAGGCCAGGCTCCGGTTATCTTAGAGCCTGTAGGGGAGTCTCCCGGCGGTGACTTCCCTACAGGGGAGGGGGGGGGATCTACCTTAATAGGTTAGACGGGTTGCGTTGGTTTGAAAATCTGTGGCTAGGCTAAATACTCCCATGTTTTACGTATTGTCAAATCGTGATAACGGGCTGGATGAACTATCTTGGCCGAGGAATATCCAAATTTCCCCAGGAACCTCTCCGCCAAGCCAGCTCCCGACCCCCGCAAGATCACGCCTGAAAACACCCCCCCCCCTCCCTTAGATATAATAACGTCCCTGTTGAAAAAATAAAAAAGTTGCCTAAAATCGGAAGCCCAAGGCTACGAAAAGAAAATTCCAGAGAGTTCTTCTATTCCCGCAGCCTTTCCTAGTAATTCCTGACCAATCGGCTGGTCTTGTCCAGTTCTCACTTGAAGACATCCACTGTTTTCCCATAGATAGTTATTATATTTAGAAAATGGAGGCCTCTGATGTTTACACTGTTTTCTTTAATTGGGCTCATGACACCTCGACTTTTCACTGGATATATTTTGCACTGCATACCATCTCTCACCCCTTGTATGTTGACATTTCAATGTACAGGTTTTAAACAGGAAGAATACTTCCTTCATGAAGCAGGAAGAACAATTCATGCTGCGGGAAGAACTTAACTGCCGCTCACTAGCACTCAAACGTAATACTTAAACTCTCTCCCGAAAAATCTTTTTCCTCCTTCTCCCAAAGAGCTCTCACCCTCTTCTCAAAAAGCGACTGGCCTCATCCCTCCCGCTCATAGAGCCCCCATCCCATTAACACAGGCTGAGGTCTTAATGTTCTCTAGTCCGGTAATTTAAATTAACATCAGGTTACAAATTAATAACTCTCAGTACGCATCGTAGCCTCATCAAATTATCATTTTTCCTCTTGTGGGCGCCTAAGAGTCAGTTGTTGTGGCTGACATACGGTGTTTTCTGCGTGTGTTAACTGCAGGGAGAACTGGTTACACCTGGAGATACACAACCTTCGTGAAAGGTGTCTGGACCACAGGGACAAGATGATATTTGGGCGAGAGTGCATATGGCGGGCGGCGGTGCATATGGTAGGGCTCTGCTGCCCGCCAGGCTCTTGATGGCATTTTGATAGAGCTAGAGGAGGACAACTGGAGCTGTGGACAGTTGGGTCGATTGTTGACGAGGGATGGGAGTTAAGGGGTGATAATCGGCAGATCGACAAGTAGTGGTCGACAGACATAGTGGTCAAGAGGACCCGTGGCCCAGAGGGACACTTGCTGAGACGATTGACACTCAACTATGTGGTCGACACCGGAATTCTCGAACACTGTTAGAGATCGACAGAGGTGATTGATGATGGACAATGGAGGTTGGAGATAGGAGGATATTCTACGTTGGCGGTAATCGATAGGGATGGTGAGTGACACGGTGAGGGAGTGGTGACACGAGTGTTGATTGTGATGCTGCTAATCACCCGGATGTGATTATATTATCGACATGGGTGGTGATTGACAGAGATGTGGTAGCCAACATGGGAGAAGATACTTGACTGGATAGTACAACCCAAAGACTCTGCCAGGGAGGTTCGAAGCCCAAACGTCCCCCAAGGGAAAATTAGACTCTAACAGAATAAACGTTTTGGAGAGCGCGCGAAACAAAGAGTGTGGAGGCTGCAGGAGGAACTTATTCAGTCATGCTGGGACCAGAAAGCTTCGTCAGGAGCCAGTTTGTCTCGCTGGGAGGATGGAGAGCAGCGCCTCCACCAGATGACAGGCCAGATAACACCTTGCTATCCGAGCCCTCCAGTGTCCCCTCACCTACTGCTCGCCTCATGGACCGGGCCACCAACACTGGCGGCGCCTCATGGACCGGACCACCAACGCTGGCGGCGCCTCATGGACCGGACCACCAACACTGGCGGCGCCTCATGGACCGGACCACCAACGCTGGCGGCGCCTCATGGACCGGACCACCAACGCTGGCGGCGCCTCATGGACCGGACCACCAACACTGGCGGCGCCTCATGGACCGGACCACCAACGCTGGCGGCGCCTCATGGACCGGACCACCAACGCTGGCGGCGCCTCATGGACCGGACCACCAACGCTGACGCCGCCTCATGGACCAGACCACCAACGCTGACGCCGCCTCATGGACCGGACCACCAACGCTGGCGGCGCCTCATGGACCGGGCCACCAACGCTGGCGGCGCCTCATGGACCGGACCACCGGACCACTGGGGTATCCCATGGTGTCGCACATCATGTACGTATCTCACTATACAGGTGTTACTCCCCGCCCAGGTGTCACTCACCGTGTGGGTCCTGTCACTCTCCGTCCGCCGCCTCCTGTGTGCACCCGTCACCCGCTGTTCAGATGGTGTCGCGCGCCGTCACTGGTGCTTGTGCTACCTTGGTCTTGCGTCCATTGCAACAGTGGTGCAACAGAGCCTGTCTGCGATAATGCCGACAAGTTATGGCGGGAACTGAAAGGTCGAAGATGAGCCGCCAGGAGAGAGAGAACAAATGTTGTTCTTTTCTGATTCGTCTCTAGTGCTGCCTCCCTCTAGCGCTGCTTCCCTCTAGTGGTGCCTCCCTCTAGTGCTGCCTCCCTCTAGTGCTGCTTCCCTCTAGTGCTGCCTCCCTCTAGCGCTGCCTCCCTCTAGTGCTGCTTCCCTCTAGCGCTGCCTCCCTCTAGTGCTGCCTCCCTCTAGTGCTGCCTCCCTCTAGCGCTGCTTCCCTCTAGTGGTGCCTCCCTCTAGTGCTGCCTCCCTCTAGTGCTGCTTCCCTCTAGTGCTGCCTCCCTCTAGCGCTGCCTCCCTCTAGTGCTGCTTCCCTCTAGCGCTGCCTCCCTCTAGTGGTGCCTCCCTCTAGCGCTGCCTCCCTCTAGTGCTGCCTCCCTCTAGCGCTGCCTCCCTCTAGTGCTGCCTCCCTCTAGTGCTGCCTCCCTCTAGCGCTGCCTCCCTCTAGTGCTGCCTCCCTCTAGTGCTGCTTCCCTCTAGTGGTGCCTCCCTCTAGTGCTGCCTCCCTCTAGTGCTGCCTCCCTCTAGTGCTGCTTCCCTCTAGTGCTGCTTCCCTCTAGTGCTGCTTCCCTCTAGTGCTGCTTCCCTCTAGTGCTGCCTCCCTCTAGCGCTGCCTCCCTCTAGTGCTGCTTCCCTCTAGTGGTGCCTCCCTCTAGTGCTGCTTCCCTCTAGTGCTGCTTCCCTCTAGTGCTGCCTCCCTCTAGTGCTGCCTCCCTCTAGTGCTGCCTCCCTCTAGCGCTGCCTCCCTCTAGTGCTGCTTCCCTCTAGTGGTGCCTCCCTCTAGTGCTGCTTCCCTCTAGTGCTGCTTCCCTCTAGTGCTGCCTCCCTCTTGTGCTGCCTCCCTTTAGTGCTGCCTCCCTCTAGTGCTGCTTCCCTCTAGTGCTGCCTCCCTCTAGTGCTGCTTCCCTCTAGTGCTGCCTCCCTCTAGTGCTGCCTCCCTCTAGCGCTGCCTCCCTCTAGCGCTGCCTCCCTCTAGCGCTGCCTCCCTCTAGTGCTGCCTCACTCTAGCGCTGCCTCCCTCTAGCGCTGCCTCCCTCTAGCGCTGCCTCCCTCTAGCGCTGCCTCCCTCTAGCGCTGCCTCCCTCTAGCGCTGCCTCCCTCTAGTGCTGCCTCCCTCTAGTGCTGCCTCCCTCTAGTGCTGCCTCCCTCTAGCGCTGCCTCCCTCTACTGCTGCCTCCCTCTAGTGCTGCCTCCCTCTAGCGCTGCCTCCCTCTAGCGCTGCCTCCCTCTAGTGCTGCCTCCCTCTAGTGCTGCCTCCCTCTAGTGCTGCCTCCCTCTAGTGCTGCCTCCCTCTAGCGCTGCCTCCCTCTAGTGCTGCCTCCTTCTAGCGCTGCCTCCCTCTAGTGCTGCCTCCCTCTAGTGCTGCTTCCCTCTAGTGCTGCCTCCCTCTAGCGCTGCCTCCCTCTAGCGCTGCCTCCCTCTAGTGCTGCTTCCCTCTAGTGCTGCCTCCCTCTAGTGCTGCTTCCCTCTAGTGCTGCCTCCCTCTAGTGCTGCTTCCCTCTAGTGCTGCTTCCCTCTAGTGCTGCCTCCCTCTAGTGCTGCTTCCCTCTAGTGCTGCCTCCCTCTAGTGCTGCTTCCCTCTAGTGCTGCCTCCCTCTAGCGCTGCCTCCCTCTAGCGCTGCCTCCCTCTAGTGCTGCTTCCCTCTAGTGCTGCCTCCCTCTAGTGCTGCTTCCCTCTAGTGCTGCCTCCCTCTAGTGCTGCTTCCCTCTAGTGCTGCTTCCCTCTAGTGCTGCCTCCCTCTAGTGCTGCTTCCCTCTAGTGCTGCCTCCCTCTAGTGTTACCTCTTTTGTTTTATGGGTTTGTTGCGCAGGATTGAGCTCTGATTTGTGTTGTTTTAACCACCATCATTAGTTACAATAAATCCACTTTTAGATTATAGCTGGCGTTAGCCTCATCAATCTCCTGTCCTGTGCTGACAGCTGACGTATGCTTCGTCAACCTTGTCTTCTTGGTCCTTTCCTGTCAATCACCACTTCCAGATTCCTGAATTCCATCTGATAAGTGATTTTTTCTTTTGCATTTTCCTGTCTTGTGGAATCCATCCATGTGTTTTCCTGGAACATCGTCAACACGTCAACATCGTCAACACGTCAACGTCGTCAACGTCGATGACGTCTCGTCATTCAACGTCTCTTCGTTTGCTTGTTTTGCTCTCAATGTTTGGAGTTGTGCCTAAAATGTGTTGTATATCCTGGAAACACAAACCTAAACTGTCTCTATTTTCTGCTTGTTACAACTTGTAATAAAGTTGTTACAGCTTGGCTTAACGTGTTTATGACGTATTAGAACGTTGTTACAACTTGCTATATTGGTTATTATAACTGATTAGGTGTTAAAACTTGCTCGAACGTTGTACCAACGTCGTGGTTTCAGTGTGTTTGGCGGGTATCTACGTTTCGTGTTCGTATGTCAACAGAACTTAAGAAAATAGTTTTTGTAAGTTCATTGAGGTCAAGTTCTTTGACGAATTTTGTGGTATTGAAATTTTCCCGCAGTTCACCCTACAAGGCGGGAAATGAGGACTATAATAAACTAATTAAAATTACCTAAACTCTCA